AATCGTGGGACAGAAGCTTATAACACTTGGTTTTTCTGATCACGATTGTGATATAAATCATACTAAACCTGCAGGTTCCATGGAATTTGAAGATCCAGTTCATATGTTCAACCGTTCTGAGTCAAATTATCACTTAAGGTATAACAATTATATTGGTGATGGTGATTCTAGTTCATTTAAAAGGGTAGTCGAATCAAAGCCATATAGAGATGCATTCATAATTAATAAATTAGAGTGTGTGGGCCATGTTCAAAAAAGACTTGGCTCACGGTTTCGCACACTGAAACAAAAATACAAAGTGCAATTATTATCAGATGGAAAAAAAATATTTGGAAAAGGACGCTCAACTAAAAAAGCCATAAATTTACTTCAAAACTATTTTGGAATGGCTATTCGTCAAAATACTATGATTTATCCAATAAAAAAAGCAAATGGTGCTGTTTTACTTCATTGTTCTGAAAATGTACAAGAAGAGCAGCGGCACATGTTTTGTCCAAAAGTTGTTAATGGATGGTGTAAATGGCAATCAGATAATTTCACTAGGAGTAAAACATACAAGTCAAAATTGTCTTTGTCTTTAGCCATAAAAGATGAACGGAAACCTATTTTTTAGGAATTAAGTCAAGATTCATTGCTAGAAAAATGCTTTCATGGCGAAACGCAAAATGTAAATAAGTGTTTAAGTGAAATTATTTGGGCACGCTGTCCAAAATCTACTTATTGTAGCAGGAAAGTTCCTACAATTGGTGTGTGTTCTGCCATCATAAGTTTCAATGATGGCATTAATGGTATTGGAAACGTTTTTGATTGTTTAAATATTCAACGTGGAAGTTTTTTGAACAAAATGCTTTAAAAAGTGACAATTATAGAGTTATAATTCATCATAAACAACCATCTAATATTTCAAAAAAACAAAGAAAAGTAAGAAGAAGCTTAAGAAAAGTGCATATAGACAAAAGCAAAGATATTGAAGGGTACCAATCTTATAACTCAGGATCCTTTTGTGTTAACTCTGTTTTGTTTTATGTCAATAAATATTAACTGATTTTTAAAACTGCTTTTTCTCAGTACATACTTTTTGTAGTTTTGGTTTTACCGTTTACATAATATTTTCACTAATACTATGTGAAACTTCTGGAAATTTTGCACAAATATTGCTTACTTATATAGCAACAAAATGACCCTCATTGAAGAGACTCGCTTACTCTTTGTATTTATGAACTTGCTTACATACTTGTATTTATGAAATTTTGAATAGGCGAGTAAATTGTTAAAATCACCTATTCTTTTAAAAATGGCTATATTTTTGCAAGTTTTTATAGTTGGAATGTGAAAGTGGCACAGATTGTAATTTACATTGTTATAAAACAACTGTGCAAGTCACCCTATGTTAAATAATTGAGTAAACAGTTTTAGCCCCTTTTTGGGACCAAAATCCACTTTTTATATGCATAAAAAAAAATGAAATTCTGTCATTTTTTGACCTATATTTGTAATTAATGTAATAAATCACTTAATATATCAATTTTTAAGAAAAAAGTTGTGTAATTGTATAGAAGTACCTTAAATCAATTTAAATTCTTACTTCAAATTTAAATTAATTTAAGTATTTTAATGCTAAGAGTACTTAAGTCACTTAATGAAGCGTTATTTCTATGATCAAAGAAGATTTTCTCAAAACATTTTTTTTTTGTGACTTAAGTACTTTTCGTACTAAGCTCTTCAATTTATAAATTTGAGCCAAAGGGTCAAATTTATTATCAGGATACATATGTCAATTAATTGGAAACATGTTATAAATATACATCAAATGTTAACATATGTTAAAAATGTACATTACTTTGTAACATATTTTATAAATGTAAAACAATGATTTAGAAAAGAACGTCGTAGTGCTAGTATCTGGAATCGCGAACTTTGACATTTAAATATATTTTGACAATAACATTTATTTGCTTTAACGAAACAGTAAGAACTTATGACAAAACATCTCCCTACCTTTTTTCATTTCAGGGACTCTAAAATTATATAATTTACACTTTTATATTTCTAATAGTATAAGTTAAGCATTTTACAATTATGCTAATATCACACACACACACACACACACACACACACACACACACACACACACACACACACACACACACACACACACACACATAATAATTCGAAAGCTGATTTTCAAATAGTTGAGATTTACGAGATATTTATATGGTCGAATCTAAAGATTCCATAATATAACACTATTATATTATACTAGCTTAGATCGGAACCGTAAAAATAAGGGTCTTTATGACCCAGCCGGCACAACTCAGAAAATAATTACACTTGGTTTCTGTTGCGTTTTTAAAACCTTCTAAAACAAAAAGAATAACACATATCAAAAATGTTTTTTGTTACGTGAAATTAACTATTACTATTTACCATAAATACAAGTTAAAATATTAATGTTTCACCGTTATGGAAACGTAGTATTAAATTATAATAACTTTCCGTTAGGAATGTGAAACCACTGATAAAAACATGCGACATTTAAATTTGGCTTTAAAACCAGGGTTGCCATCTGGTGTTTTTTTAAGCCAGATTTCTAAAATCTGGTTTGTTTTTTTATCGTTTGACTTGGAATTTTTGTTTTGGTTTATTTTAGAAAATCTGGCTTATATCTGGTTTATTTTAAAGTCTTTCGTCTTTTTTTGCTTGTTCTGGTATGTTTTTCAAAATCTGGTTTAATTCTGGTTTATTTAACAATAAAACAGTTAATTATGCACCATAACAGAAATCTCATTAACTACCGTGTGATCATTATAGTTTTATTTTTGGAATATAATTTATTTTCAGAACTTCTTTGCTGCAGCATTCATGCTAGCTTTAGCTATGTAATTGTTATACTTTCTTTGTTTAACAAGTAAAAAAATTTCTGTACTTGATAAAAAATGTTCATAAAACCACTAAACTTTTCTATACTATGGTATTCTTTACCCATTATTTCTCAAAAAACTAATATTGTACAAAAAAAAAATCTCAAAAATTCATTGCTGCTGGTTTGTTTATAGTTATGGTAGAATAAAACTTCTAACATTTTTGTAAGCAATATTGTTTTGAGCATCATACAAAGTTATAATATAAAAGTTACATTGTAGAAAATTATTGATAGCAAACAATGGCAACTATTTTAACTCGTATGTCAGTGTTCATAAATATGTAATCATTTGTAACATTGAACTGATCGTAATTAGCAGAACTATTGCTTTTATTTACAAAACCATTATTTATAATTTTTACAGATTATTTATTGCTGTAGCTGAATGTACACATGAAATTTTTTTGTTTTTTCTATGCTAAATTCAAATTTTAGTTCATGCAAATTATATACATTTTCTTCAACTGCATTGTTTGTTAATTGATTTTGGTTTTCTTTAAAGAGTATAAGTTTTTTACTATGTCTTGTTTTATTTCTTTTTTTTTTTACCAATTTCTTTTAATTACTAATATTATTTAACAAAGTGATAGGATAAATGTAGAGTGATACAGAAAACAGCAACTATAGTTGGAAATTTTAATAAAACCCATGTAGCCATATGCACCAAAAATATTATTAAATAAACAAAAAGTAGTTATAGAGTTTCAATCACTTCATCTGGTATTTTAAATTAAAAATGTATACTATATTTTTGGTATAACTTCCTTTTCAGTTGCATAGCAACGAAATAAACAAAGCGTTGCTGTGGAAAAATACAAGTGTTTACTTATACCGCTTTATAAAAAAATGATTTTTAATGTTGTTAGCTAATTTTCTTCATTAAACTAACTTGAAATTCGTATTTTAAGAAAGTTATATTATTTAAAATTATTATATTTGAAAAAAGGATTTTTTTTGATTTTTAATAATGGTCTACCATCTTAAAACAGAAGAATGTATTTTATGGCTCGATCGGAGATCGAGCACCGGCGCAGTCCTCATCATTAACCGCTTAACCAAGCAAACTCATTAATATCTTATAATTTAACTTTATCAAAATTAATATTTGCATATATATTTGAAAACGTTACTTAAATTGGGATTTTGTGCCGCAAACAAAGAGCTTTTGGGTCGTATAAAGTATCTAAGGTACCTCCTCCACATTTTTTTTTTTTTTTTCTATAGATTTTTTCATTAAAAAAAAAAATGTAAGGAAAGGGGATCTCAAAAACGTACGTACTTTTTAAGGGGCGAAAGACTTAGAAGTACGCATGGCAACAGGGGGGAGGAAAGGGGTCAAATTTCAAAATTTTTGGCCTACGTACTTTATGGACGACCCCTTAGTAAGATTGACAACTAATATTTTAATAATATAATAGTAAATAAAGTTAGTAGAAAGCGAAGTTATAGCTTTGAAGGAAATTTAGTTTTAGTTTTTCTTTTTGAAATTTCTTAAAGTGAGTAGTTTTTTTTTTTTAGCTGCAACTTTTTTCAGAACGGTATTAGTAACTAATAAGGGGGCATTTTTTTTGTTTTTGTTTTGTTATTTTTTTTTGTAAAAATTAAAAATATTAATAATTAAATCACATTTTACTGGTTTGAATAAAGTTTTATGCGACCATTATATAGTTCTATTTTATTTAAACATGTGCTTTGATAATAAGGCAAAAGTCATCTGATGCAAACTTTAAGATTAAGAGTAAATGTATTTGCATCAATGCATAATTAAAAAAATATTTTTAATTCTAAAATAGTTTGTTTCTAAAAATCCTTATTGTGGAATTATGTTCTTAAAAATGAAATTAGAAATTAAAATTATTTAATATTGCTATTTGTATCTGCTAGCATTTAATCATGGCTATGATAAATATTATTATATGTGATGTTGAAGATGGTAATGATTTTATAGATGATGATAATGATGATAATTATTGATAAGCGTGTTAATAAAAGTTAATAATTATCATGTCAAAAATATTTTAAAAAAATGTTTTGTTTTTTATTAAATATAATAGTTGCTTTGTAAAACTACATTTAGATTCACTTGGAAACTTGCGAATCTCTACCACTTTATTGTGTAAATCAATGTGGCATGAAAATTCTGCGTAAAGAGGTTTAAATATTAAAAGAAGAAAAAGTTTTAGTTAAAAAAAAATATTTTGTTACATTTGGTAAATAAACTATTTTTTACATCAATTCATAGATGTCAACCCATATCACTGATAGTTGCGCTAATACAGTTATTCCTTGCCAATACTTTTACATTGGATGCAATTTCAAGGTAAAAAATTTAATTTATAGAATATAAAAATGTTTAAAATTATCAAACAAAAAATCAGCAAAATTTCACAGTGATAAACTTAATGTTCTTTTACCTCAACTTTGAGCAATACACTTCTAGAATTATGTACCTTAAAAAGATTGTTTTTTCTTGAGAAAAATTAATTATAAATTAATGAATATTTAATTTTTGGAATAAAATCCATTTCTTTTATAAAAAGCAATGCCTTTTTTAATTTTTTTTTCTTATATCAGCCTAATTTGAAATATTTTATACAATAAATAATTTTTGTTAGTATACATTTTATTTTTGTAACTTTTATTATCTAAATTTTAAAAAATTCAAAAATTAAGATGGAAACACCTAAGTGAATTTTTCACACAAAAAATTGCGCACCAGAAACTAATAACATTTTTGAAACAATTATACCTTGAGGAGTTATAATCCTAATTTAAAAAAAAACTGTCGATATCTACAAGATGGAAAAATTAGACAGGGCAGTTTTGATATGCAACGATGATATAGCAGTGCATCTTATGCGCCATTCAAAATATTGATTGTTTATAATTACAAAACGATTTAAGCATTATTTGACTCAGAAGTTTGTTACTGAATAAAATTTCATGCAGCAGAAATTTTCTTAACGAAATTTTTACACTAGTACAAGTACGCGTATCAATAGCCGTTGCAAAGTTATGGATCTCGTCTCGTTATTTTATATTTTTTATAATCAATCCAACTAAGTATTTTATGGGCCTGTTTATAAAGAAAAAAAACAACATATATTAATTATTTAAAATAATTTTATATAAAATAGTAATTCTTTTGTTACGTTATTTTTCACATGTTATATCCCTTGTCAACATATTTTAATTTGGTTAGCATGAATTTACTTTTCCAACATCAACAAAATAGTTTAAACTGACAGTATATAAGAACAAGAAGGTTTATCCGTACAAGTTAGTAAAAGAATAGCATACAAAATACCAGCTAATGCTATTTCATTTATTTTGCTATTTGCATCAGATGTTTTTTGTGAAAATGGTTTTTTTTTCAACAAAAATATCATTAGATTTTATTATCACAGACCTCCGTTTAAAGTTAGTACTAGTAGTACTTACTTTAACTTTCTTTAGCAAATATCAAATTGAAAGTTATAATCAACGGAGGTCTGTGAAATCATAAAAAATATAGAACTTACAAATAGTAGATTATATATTTTTGTTTAAGTAAAAAGTTTAATAATCATGATATTAATTATTCTTTATAAGATGCTAGTATTTATGCATTTTTACTTTAAATGTAACCGAGATAAGTTCAAGTTTTTTATAGTAATATTGTATTAAAATAAAATATTAATATTAGAGCATCATTTTTTTGTAGAAATTTAAAATCTACTTATAAAGTATTATGTGATATCTATCGTCAAAAATTGTTGACAATTTAATAGCTTAATTATTGATATTAGCGTGGTACTAAAACTCATATTTGTTATTTTGGTACTTTCAATAGGGTACCATTGCGGTTTTAAATATAGATCTAATAAACTTTTTTTATTTCGAAAGCTTAATTTATCATTTATCCTTTTTTTGCAATTAGTTATTGAATCATTAGTTAATTTTTTTTTTTTAAATACACCACCTGGCAAACGTTCAAATCAACAATAATCTGATGAGAAAAAATTCTAATAGCATTGCTTTATTGCATTTTTATACAATATATTCTATTTGATTAATTCTCTAATTGATCTGGTAATCATGCATCGTTAAAAAGTTACAGAGAAAAAACAGCGAAAAAATTTAAAATAACTCGGTATCTGTGAATTTTGTAGTTTTTTAATGCCCGTTTTTGAAATAGGGTACCGTTTTGCTTTCTTTACGTATATATTAAATATATTAAAAATAAGGATTCTGGGATCGAATTGCCGACAAACAACTTTAAAATATCTAATTATTATTATTATTATATTATTATTATTATATTTTCTTTGCCGTATAATTAAATTTACAATGAGAAAAAACCATTCATGTATAAAAATTGGCCGGAGCAAGAAGAAGACATAAACTGTCTTATCGCCAAGCCCCGTTTACATTAACGTCACAAAGTTACAAGTTAAAAACTAAAAGGTTAAAAATTGAAGTACAATACAATATTAGTTCGACAAATATAAGACACAAGTAATAAATCGAATAAATGTTATTTGTCTGTTCAAAATTAATAGTATATATATTTTTTATTTTAATAAGAAATAAACAAGATACACAAGACAATAGTAAGTGAGTAGTGATGACTTTTTCAGGTTTAATTATTTTAGTTGATTTTAGAAGAAATCTTTAAAATCGAAAGTTTTTTCTAATAGAAAACATATAGTGTTATTAACGCTTAGATTCTCAAAAGAGAATCTAAACGTTAATAACACTATATGTTATTCAGTTTTCAATACAAATTCTCAATTACTTTTTGAATTCTTGTTTAGTATTTGTTAACTTTTAAGAGCTGATTACAATGAAAGTTTTCGTTTTGATTAGTTTTTTTTTTTTTTTTTTTTTTTTACTTCACCTCCTCAAGGCCGAGAAGGCCACTACAAACGAGGAGGCTACTTATTTTGTGGCTATAACCCTCTCTCAACTCTATAACTCCGAAACACGAACCTTGACGAACAAGGCCGCTGCGCGGAGAAACGAGTTAAGCGCGGTACTACCAGGGACGTGGTGGGGATCGAACTCGGAGCCACACGTTTATGAAGCGAGCGCTCTACCACTACCGCATTAGTTTAAACTTGACATTTTAAAGCCTGGTTACTAATAAGTATTTATTTTTATCAGCAAATAATTTTCTTAAGCAATAAGTGAAATTAAATAAACAAATGAATTTGATGAAATTTAATACGCTCAGGGTGGGTATATCCCAGTAAGCATAGATTGTTTTTAAAACGTTTTAAAAACGTTAATATCCGTTTTAATAAGTTTTTTAAACGTTTTTAAAAACGTCCTGTGCTTACTGCGATTTTCCTAAAGTAAACTAGTTACCCCTTCTTCGTATTAAGCACCTGAGTACAAACCCTAAAATAAAAAGAATTTGACAATGTGCGAAAAAAACTAACTAGCTCTCAAAACATTGACTGTTAAAAGGATATTTTAAAGATGAATATACTAAAATTATATTTAAATAATAAGTATATATATTTCTATTTTAAAGTTGCGACCAAATAAAATAACTACATACTTACAAAAATGTTTAGACTTATTTCATAATTGTTTAGAAAGCCTAAACTTCAATTCTGATAAATTTGTTCAAAATTGTTTTTGATCTTTTTAAATTTACTTTTTTTTTTTGTATGAGTGCTAGTATAAAGAATACAAAAAGAAATCTTTATATACTCATAGAAAGTGAAAAAAATTGCAACTTACGAAAACAATAACAAATTTTAATTTGAAAAAATAAAATTTAAAGTTTACTAATTGTAAAGTAACATAAATCAACTAGGATTTTAGTGCCAACAAAATAAAGCATTACTCCATCAAATAATTCGTACTTTTGTTAAACTGTTTATTTTAATTTGAATCAAAATAAATATCTTCATTTAATCGTTCTAAATAAATTTGTGCTTTATACAATTCTTTTTGATTGCATGGCCTCTATTTATGTAAACTTTTCAATAAAATTAGTTGAGTGTTTCTGTAAAATCAAGTCTTGAATTTTTTTTATAGACTAGAAAACAATCTTGAAAATTAATAAACGCCAATAATCCACAGTTCTAAAATAAAGCTACATCACTATTGCTACACTGATACAAAATATAAAACATGCTTTTGCTTTTTTACTAAAAACTCTTAAGACTTTGTTTTAACTCTTGCACTCTTTGAACTGAAATATGAAAGTCAATAACTACTGGTCCAGGAAAGTCATAAAAGTAGAAAATTAAGACTCATTAAAGCAATAAAATCATTTTTTTCATGTTCATATAATAGAGGACTAAATCATAAAGAAAATCAACTATAAAACCATGGCTATTTCTAGTATTAAAATTAAAAATGCTGCATTCTGTATATATATCAGACCTAAAAAAGAGTTTTCTTTGTTATAATGATTATGCATATTATTTGCATCTATATTCATATTATCTTTATTCTTTTCGACAGAAAAATTTACAAGGTGTAAACTTTTTGTTTAAATATATAATTTCAAAAGCTTAATTTTTCTTTTATCCTTTATTTGCAATTAGTAATTGAATCATTAATTTTTTTTTTTTTTTTAAATACACCACCTGGCAAACGTTCAAAGCAACAATAGTCTGATAAGAAAAAATCCTAATAGCATTGCTTTATTGCATTTTTATACACATTTTCTTCAGAATTGGTATCTTTAAATATATTCTATATTTTGATCCCAGAGAGCTTTGCTCTCTGGGATCAAAATATAGAATATATTTAAATATAGAATATATTCTAGATTAGATTATTTAAAAGATTTTTGATTGAAATAAGAAAACGGTAATCAAACACAAGTAATGTTTTAATGCCACGTACTAAAAATGAAAACATCCGCATGTTAAAAAAGGCATGAAAACCTTATGTTAAAAAAGGCATGAAAACCTTATTTTGCAGCAATTTTTTAATCGACAATTAAAAACTTATTCAGATACACAATATTAGGAGTTACCACGCATGCGCTATATTTCAGGCATTCTTGAATAATCTGCATAATTCGTATACTAGAATGATAGGAAATAGCTAGTGGCTCGCAAAAGACATTGCGTTAAACATAAATGTAAAACTAGTTTGTTACAAGTAAATTTTAAAAGATGGAATATTAGGTTTAAAATTTTCAACCTGAAGTTTATTCATTGTACGGTTAACTTCTGTAAATGATGAAACTAACACAATGAATTTATTTATTTTTAAACTAGTTTGTTTTCCAACAAAGCTGTAAGAAACTACTTTTCAAGTTTGGAATAACCAGAAAAAAGAATATTGTTGGAGTGCAAAAAAATGGTGACA